ATTGGAGGACAAACATGCGGGTTTTTCGTTCTGGCCCGCAGTTGAACAAAACCGAATTGTACGAGTTACAGGCGAGTTATCAATATTCTGGAGGCTGTCCATAATACTACGCTTGATTCAACTACAATTTTCGTTTTAAAAACTTTGGAGGTTCTAAAGCCGATGCCTCTGAGTGGAAGGATATTGTGCGGAGTTACAGTCAATCAAGCATTTGATTACGTTTTAATGTTATAAAATGAATGACGGATTTATTAGATACAAAAGCACTAGTCACAAATTGAGGTGGATGCTTAATTTTTATGGAACAACGACGTCTCCGTGAAGGAAATCACCAAATGATCATCTTTAGCTTTTCCTAGTATTGACCTCTGTAGAAATAGGTGTACTTCTTAATTTAAATATTTCCCGCCAGCTGACATGTTCTTAAATACAGTTCTTAGGAGACATCTTCCAACTCGGTGGACATCCACGTTGAGTGAATAACATTGTTTGTTATTTGGATGGGGTATTTATTGCCATTTTGAAGCACCTTTGTCTCAATTTATACCCAAATTCAATCTGTTGGTGTGCCATATCGGCCAAATCCTTAGTTCCTCGATCCCGCTTCGTCTTCCCACGCGCTTAAATGGGCCCCGCCGAAATGACCACGGAACTGTCATCATCACCAACGCCCAACAGGATGGTATACACAACCAGCCATGCGTGGTAGTGACTCACTAAGTCTTGTTTTGATTTGAGTCACATTTGTTTACTGAGCGGCTTTTCAGCTGCTTTACAAATGAAAGCGGAAGAATCACGCCCTAACCGTCTACCGCTGCTGTTAGCAAACGAGTAAGTTTGACATTTCTGTGCATAACACTTAGTTATCCTCAACAGTTAGTGGATCTATAGCGGAAGAGAAAATCGCTCCTGGAGGATACACTGTGATACAGTGTTACCAATCCTCTCAGAGCTGTCCAAGATAAAACTCTAACTTGAGCTAGTTTTAATGTCAATGAGCGTCCAAATCATATGACTTGGGCAGAAGTTAGAAGATAAAAATCCGAAGTCTGAGAATGTATGCGAATATGGTTGACTCTTGGAATAGACACGAGTCAACAGGCTGCTTGACAGTACACCCTATGAACTTTAAGTTAATACAGGAAATATCTGTGAAGGCAAGCATCGGGGACGGCTTGTCAGTGTTCAGATTAGCTTGTATACTATTAGAGCCAGCCGGTAACAATCGAATTTGTCCGGAAGAAAGCGGGTAAATAGGGAGCTCTCAAGCATTATTACACAAAATCAAGGTACCCAGAGGTGAATTAGGGATATCTACGCACAGTATTTTTCCAAGTCCTTATTCCTGTTGCGTTTCAAATGGCTTTGGATCGAAATATCCTTGGGCCAGAATTTTGACAACATGGGTTGACCCATCTACATTGGTTGCCGTCCTGTTTCGGCCTTTGTAATTTGAAGCCTTCATTTTTTTCTCAGTGATGTCAGCAGAAAGCCTTCGAAATGGATTTAAACAATTAATCAAGTGCGTTATAGACCTTAAGGGAACCACCCTATTGGGTTTTTCTTAGCGTTTTTCGAGCGAAACAGCCTACTCCTGAAGGAATACACTCATTTGCAAATCAATTTGGTTTTTCACGGGACACTCAACTGAATTTCTGGTTTATATTATTCTACAACTGAATTTGCTGCTCACATACCGCCTCATGATTCAGTTGGTATGATATTCGAGGTGTTGCAGTATATTATATTATTAACTGAATTTGCTGCTCACATACCGCCTCATGATTCAGTTGGTATGATATTCGAGGTGTTGCAGTATATTTTCATGAAGGAAACTACTCGAATATCGTGGCAACTGAATCATGAGACGGCCTATGTGCAGCACATTCAGTTGTAGAATATCATAAACGAGGGATTCAGTTGAGTCTCTCGCGAAAAACCAAACTGATTTGCAAATGAGTATATTTCTCGAAAACAGTCCAATTTGAATTCAAGTAGATCATAAGGTTGACGGAAACTCGGGGGCTGCGCCTACCTGATGAGCCCCAAGTAGGGTAAAACCGGTCGTGGGCTGTCGAAGAGTTTTCAGCAACCTTGTGAGTAGTTTCCTTTGTGAATCTTACACTTCAGTTCTCAGCATTGCTCACAGAAATAGCCTAGTAAAATCGATTTAAACGACTGGAAAACATCTGCTGCTCCCAGCCTTTATGTCACTAGTTAATTTTTTTTCATCTCACCTGTATCATTAGTTATCATCGACCTTCCAAATGTGGTTAAGTTAGCTGTAAATACATGCAACTTTTGACACAGCTAGTAAGTATAGTAGTGGGGAGAGCTGCTCTTACGCTGAGGACGCTCCAGAAGCAAGGTGACTGTCACATGTGGGTAGACCATAATTCCGTGAGGGCGTGACCTAAGTTCTTCACTATCACCTGGGCTGTTTACGTCCGTACCTGGAATTAGTCCATATAAAGCATGTGCCTGTTGACCGACGGTTTCGTTTGGGTGTGGCGGCGGGTGCGTACACAAGGTCATTTGAGAGAAAAGTCAGGCTTCCGTCAACTTGATACAGCAAGCTATCTCCGACTTGTCTCCTATCTGAACTAGTTCGGATGAATAACATTATTTGAGGGTGTCCTGGAAGACTTGTTGCAAGTGATAGTATGGCCGGGTTGGTTGCCCTAGTTTCGGAATGAGTGAGTACAACTGGGCTCTAATCTGCTCACGTTAACCTCCAAGTACTTCTAGCGTAGTGAGATATTCACCTCCTACTCGAGTGCGCAAACGAGCTTAACAGAGTTTTAATGACCGGAGCATGCAGGTTTCATTGGCGCAATTCCATCACACATACAAGGTTTAGGGTCTCTATAACATGTGACAGCCTAGTCCGAATAAAGAGCTAGTGAGTGAACAAATAACTGGTTACGTCATATCTTAATGCTCATCTCAGTCGCTTACAACCCGTGTTCTTCAATACCCTTCAATAGTCTTCAAATAGCTCTTCGGGTTATTAAAATCTGAGAACAGAAGTGCTGGTATGAGAAAGCTGACATCCAGGTCTCTGGTGCAGTTTCTAAAGTTCCGTTCGACAGTAGGATTAGTGTAAAGTGTTCCAACTAGCTAGTGTCCAACTAGCTAATTAAGAAAATCGCGGAGTCGTTTCTATCCACGAATCACAGTGGAACGACAACATTTGTATTTAAATCGACCTTATTGCTCACTGCGGTCTTAATTGCCTTTTGCAAAATTCCACAAAAACCCCTGTAAACGAAGGTGAGGCAAATTAAAACCAATCAGCCGGATAGTTTCATTGATTTGTTTGTCTATCTGCTCGCTAGATAGAGAGCACAAGTCATTTTGAATGATAACCAGTTCTCATAGTCAACGGTAGGTTCGTGTAAAACTGGAATCCTTGGGGTTATTTTTAGGATTAGGTTTAGACTACAACAGAACTGTCATTTCCCTACAATAACGAAGATGGTTATATACATGTACGTGTGGTGTACTCATTTGCTTAATGCATCGCAAGCATTGTGCTGGTATTCCTTCTGAAAGCCTAACTTCAATTGCACACTTCTCCAACAATCGAAACCTCGCTGAACTTCGTACTTTTATTCACCTAACCGAGTTATGAAAGCAATCGTATTAATTTGTTTGTAGGACAAAATGGATTATTTGTTGCCAGTGGGATCTGCTACGCGTGCGATCCTTCGAATTTTCCCATACAGGACGAGATGGCTCAGGCGCGAATTTTCTGACTGTAAGATCCGTTGTTTTGAACCCGACCTCTACATCTCGATTTATCCTATCTAGTCTTGGGCAACATGGCAGTATCCCAGCCCTCCAATTTCCTTCAGGTGAAATGGCAGATATGTACCAAAAGGATGTAACAGCTGAAAAATCTTTAATGATTTTTATTTATACAGGTATCACTGGTAAAGTATTTTCGAAACCTGTTCCGTCTTGGATTGGAGCTGAATCGGAGGGAATTTACATGATTCCGTTCCGTGAAATCATCATAAACTGAACTCTGTGGTAATCCTCCCTGTAATTTGTTGTCGAAAGTCAAGGTATACAAGCCTTATTACAAAGCAGTAGTTTCCAAAGTGTTTGGCATCACCGTCCATTGGAATATATGTTATTGTATCATTTTCCGGTTAGAGCTTTGATATGGGAAGCAAACGATTAAAATCATCGGACACTTTCTAAGCAGTAAGTGGGAGAAATTAGGTCAGGGTTATTAATTTTTGAGATTTCAAAAATCCACTCCGAAAAAACATGTTTAACTGGAAAGCTATGATCATTTTTGGAAAGAAGCAAATCACAAGTTTACCGAAACTTCATCGATAATTCATAAACGGTTTTGTCCTTGTTGGGGATCATCACCTTTGTGCAGTCTCTGAGTTTCAGTCAATCTCATCTTCTACCTGAACATAAGTTTAATGAAATTGAAAAGTACCATCATTTGCACCTAGTAAAACGTGCGGCAGCATTTGTGAGGAGCATTCAGTTGAAGAATATTGTAAAGGGGAGTTTAGTTGGGATTCAGTAGAGTCCCCGATTATAACCGAATTTGTATACGAATGATTGTATTTCTCGTGACCGTCTTCATTCGAAAGAAATTTTGGTTTATAGGATACCTGCTGTGAACTTGTGGCTGGATCCATGAATCTTAACGCCACGATTCCTGTTGTTTCTTCATCCTCTTTGGTTTACTCCATAACCGACTTTCAAAGACAGTATATAGATGACTGAATTTCCAACTTCGAGAAGGAAGTGCTTATTAGCCGCCGAATTTCGTGATTTAGCTATTTAAAATCAACGTGTTTAAAGTCCACCTGACAATGAATGTAACTAATGCATGCTATGGTTTTTGCGGGAGGTGTATTGTTCAGTTTCACATCACTCTCGTTTTGAACAGTCGCCTCCTGTCCTGGCGCAATTATTCATGTGAATCCACACCAAAGGGGGGGAAGCACTGGACTCGTGTTTCGCTCTTGTTAGAGCTCATCAGCAGTGTATATCCAATGTCCGTACCGGACACCTGACATGCGAGGCAAACGTGTTACCACGATTCCACCAGCGCACGTTGGACGCATCTGAATACTCACGTCTGAACGGGTGAACGTGTTCTCACTTGAGCGATGTGATAAATGTGCCCGACACATCATCGATACGACGTCCAACGTGCGCTGGTGGAATCGTGGTAACACGTTTGCCTCGCATGTCAGGTGTCCGGAGTTCAAACGCCGGCACGACCGTTGGATATGCACTGCTGATGAGCTCTAACAAGAGCGAAACTCGAGTCCAGTGCTTTCCCCCTTTGGTTTGGATTCACATGAATAATTGCGCCAGGACAGGAGGACGACTGTTCAAAACGAGAATGATGCGAAACTGAAGAATATAACTAACCTTTGACAATCCTCTAGCATCACCTAGGTCGATGAATATGCTCTTCAAGACAGGCTTTGAATGAGCGCTATCTTTTCCGAGTAGTGATGGCCCATAGGTAGCACGTCAGTCCACAGGAAAATATGCGACCAGGTGAATCGCGGACGGAATCAATAAGGTGCCGTTACACCGAATGAATATCGACGTCACTCACGGATTGCGTTCACTGGATTGTGTAAATTACGGAGAACTGATGAAAAAAAAAACAGAAAAAAGACGCACAGATTGTCGTCGGATGAACAAACTAGGATTAAAATCAACTTCATTACTAGGTGAATGAATTTCCATGTACCCACACTGCAGCTGAGGAAAGACTTGAATATTATTGTTTGTGAACCCTGTTAGTTGCGCTTTCACCACACGCTCTTGTGTAGTATCTTGGGTCAGAGAGATGTCACTGGCGACGGAGAGTTCTTGCCACATTTATAAGGTTTGTGTGTATGTGGTTATCATAAATATACAGTTACAACCACGCGATCAGCGTGGTGATACCACTGATGGGACTATTATTACACACGCATGAATTCCGCTAGACTAGTTTCTAACTACTTCATTATTAGGGTAGAATTTCACGAGTTAACCCCGAGTCATGCTAAATGCGACATTTTGTAGTGACTGATGAACTGTCCGCACATCTACCACGGATAACATAAGATTGCGTCATAAAAAGGGGGCCGAAAAATTGAGAAAGGTGAATCTTACATAATTTAAGCGTCAGATTACTCTGACCAACGTTCAGTCAGTAGGTTCAGAAGCCGGGAATAAACCCTTCCCTTGAATTCCGTATATTCCCTCTTTAGTGAGGATTTTCTTTCTGTCAGTTGAGAGTTAGTGGTATGGAGCAGCATTTTCCGTACGAACAGTATCCCATTTCATAGCACTGTACGTCTATATCCATGCGGTTTCCAAACTGTGCTGTCTTGTTCTTTCGCTTGAGGATATTACTGTTCATATCCATGTTATTGTTAACTGTACTCAACTTACCCACATATCCACAACCTGATTAATAACGACACATTTTTTCTTCTCAGGGAAAACAACTTTATGGGTGAGACTGTCTGATGCATTAATATTCCGTCTCAATCAAACATTACGACCCAAGTAACACTACGCGTTTCGAACCAGACACCACTTTCAAGGCTTGTTCTTGTTGTACTACACGCATATTCAGAAGTCTGTAAGTTCATGAGGGTCAGCCGTAGTAACATCATTCCAAAAGCTCCGAGTTGTGCTACCGAACTAAGTGTTCGAAGCATACAGGCTGATTAATTTGTCTGGTATATAATCCTAAATAAAGCTATCCATTTCTGCACGACGTTACCATTCAACAAAGCCTCAAACAGTGGAACTGAAATTGTCATCTCAAAGAAATTATCCGTCTTGGAGGCGATCGTCCAAGAGTGGGTATATTATTCTTGGAAATTTGTTTTGTCAGCGCAGCAAGAAGGCAACACAAACAGCAGCAGGGCAGAAAATCAGTTGATGTTTCTCAACCTTCTGATGCTACTTTATGACGGTATTGTCTTATGTAATGCGACAAGTACTACAATCAAGATACAGTGCACATTAGCACCATAGACCAGTAGAAACTTTGAATTACACTGTCCAGGGCTACCACTCGAGAATCTCCACAGCATTTTCACAAAGTATGTGACAGCAGAACGTTGATGACTTTATCGTCGTTCTTCATAGTTTGGAGTTTCAGTCTAGTAAGAATACACCAGAAGCTAATGGGTTATTTCCTGAAATTGTGGTTTGAATATCGAAAGACTGAGAAATTTCCGGGTATTTTTGGATGCTTAACTGTACCAAGCTGGGTGATCTACTTGATCTCACAAAAAATGAGAACCGATTTGGACGGAGTGGCTGAACACTTCAACCGACGTATATTGAAATAATACTGACGGTACTATTTAACTCCATAAACATAACCACTTGTAACAATTAGAAACCATGGCTGTTGTTTTAAAATTGCAATATAAACGAGAAGATTCTGGACAGGGAAGCCACCGTTAGGACTACATCGATAAGCATTTTACATAGACTATCCCTGTTTTTTACATCTTCGTTTACACTAGTTCCATCCGAACAGACGCCAACGCTTGGTCGAGGTTTCTTGTGTTCTGGTTAACAAGATGAGATGCCGAAGAAGGATTAAAGTATGCATTCTTTTACTACGTTCAGTCGCTGACTAATCCAATTAATAAAGTCGTCTATCCAGTCAGAGTTTCTTGAAGGAAGTGAAATCAAGTGGAACGCTGTGCCACCGTGCAATGTATCCAACCACTAAAACACTTGTTCGAGACCTCCGCTTCCGTAATACAGAACACCAGTCCCCATCTACAGTCCGAGCGGACACTGCAGTACTAATTGCAGGCACTAGTTCCATTCAATAGTCGCTTATCCAGACATCGTATTTAGCTTTTACCCATGCTGAAGCCCGAGCTTAACGTACAAGTATTTCCTGGGTGTAAAGGAATCCCAAATCTGTATTATACCGGAGTCTTCCAACATAAAAATGGACCGACGAATAAATATTTCCCAGGTTAAATCAGTCGGACCAAATTCAAATTCGGTAAGTCATCTGGAGCTGGGATATTACCCGTGGCGCACTTATCGGGAACCAAGTTCTCTACGAAGCCTTTTGCCTACTAATTGGTTGGGCTTCAAATTTAGTCATCATCCAGACAGTTAACGTAGTTGACTCATTTTATTCGGTCACGATGGAAAACAAAACGCTGTTAGCGATCAACTTAGTAGGAATTCGATAACTGCTGGCCTTGTGCTTGCTTATTGCTGTTCAGTCTAGTGGGGATTTTAGCGTAAATTGGTGAGGTACATGACTGCGCAAAAGGACCAATAGATGGTTCAGTCCGCCTTTGAGTAGGAACAATAAAATCGATGGATATTTATTTATTTCTCCGACCGAGTACAACATACCAATAGTACTGCTGTCACCAGTTGCCCACGTGTCGGCTAACTGTAGAGCTATGCCTCGCCCATCCAACCTGGCAACGCGTCAGGCTACAGCGAGTGTATTGGCTACCAGAACTTTGGTAGCCATGGCTAGTCGAGTAGATTAACCCCACCCACGTATGACTCAGGCTGATAGCCAAACACGCACAGGCACACCTACAAGTGGACGTTGCCACGTAGGAACATGGTTTTCACCTGACTCGGGCGGTCTTGACGCTAGCGCGTGCGCCTACGTATGGCTCACTCACTATTCCAAAACTGGCCAATGGGGACGCTGTCGCTGAATCGTAGACTTCCAGCGAATACAGGATCGTAGACACTGTGCTTGCGGACAAGCAACGACGAGCACACAAGCTTGACCCACGCATCCATTATTTTAGACAGCTGTGGATGTTGCATGGATGTGTGTGCCTGTTTTAAACCATTTCGAACTATTGTGCTGACTAACCAAACACAACCCAAAATCTCACATGCACATGGTGGTGGCGTTGATGATTTTACGGAGATGACGGATGGACTGTGTTCGAGGTTGAGTTGGTGTGTTGCATCGAGCTGCATACAAGTGTAAACATCCACTCACACAGACACACACACACACACAAACACGTTCGGGAACACAAACGCGCACACACTCCTGCAGAACATGGATAACTCAATCGTTTGAAGCAGATTTGCTAAAGCATATCTAACTGACGGTTGTGAACTGGATCCTGTTCAGATCATTGTGGAATTCCTTTTATTTCCCCTATCGTTCACGAACACGGAGACGCAATAAAGTCAATTGTCATTTCTGTCTGGGAAATTTCAGTGTCAGACGGCCGATAGACTTCGGTGTTTGAAATAAACGGATGTTGAATTCGGAACACTTCACTTCACCGCCCAAAAACATGGTCCATGCTTCTATGGATCACACCACGTAAGTTGCAACTTCCAGTAGTCGGGATAAAAGTTGATGAATTTGCACGGGCAAAAATGGATTTAAGGTATTTCTTATACTGTCGGAATCTCCCTGGTTCTCACTGATTCTGTTGCGGATGGCTCACGAGTACTGTAGGGTTCCATTAACGGACTTCATATACACAGATGTCTAGTGTGATCCTGACTTATTTTTACTGGGAAACGTTTCCCAGCAATAAATCTACCGACTTTTACCACGTTTTCCCGGGAACGTATGGTCTTTCACGTTGAATAGTGATCAAACTGCATCACGTTCCTTCAGGTATTTAGGGCCTTTAAATTCTAAGATGGCACAAGAAACGGACAGGGACTCATAGTCACTTGTTAATGAGGAAGTTTCGAGGTTAGCTTTGATGTAGCGAAATACACACATTTGCAGACAAATTTGGTCCTGCGAGATACTCACCTGGAACCCAGCTGAATCTCTCGTCTGTGATTTTTCCAGGCAACTGAATGTGCTGCAACAGGCTGCCTCATGTTTGAATTGCTACGATATTCATGATATCGCGATATATGTATATTCGTATTGCACTGATCATAAGGTTGCTGAAAATTCTTCGACAGCTCACGACATAAGGTTGACGGAGACTCGGGGACTGTGCCTACCTGTAAGCCTCAAGAAGGGTGAAACCGGTCGTGGGCTGTCGAAGAATTTTCAGCAACCTTGTGAGTAGTGCAATACGAATATCCTTAATGTAGTGTGCGTTGCAGTACTTGTATTAAAAAAGACTATCCTTAACGAGTTCGTCGTCTGGCTGAACCTACAAACGAGATTTGCATGAATAGGGATTAAACGCTGGATATGTCTAGGTTGTTTGGGCAATCGTGTAATTTGACAGAAGCGTCAGACCTGATATAGAACGCAAAAGTGGATCACATGTGGGTGTGCTGTGATACAACCACTGAGAGGCCGTTTTTAGACGGGAAGTGGAATTATTGCCATTATACAGTGAAAGTTTCTTGTCCCGTAACGGACACTAATGATGGTTATGGAATTTACTTCCTCTAATGACGTAAGTATAGTGTCGAGCACAAATGACTGCAACAAAATTATCCCCTTTGATAACCAAGGTGTAGTTGGTGATGTTGGCATTAGTTGACTGGGTCCACATTATGACGGGTAAATCAGGCGCACGCAGGAGTGCTGCAAACCTCGTAAAACGTGTGTGAAACCGCCCATTCCTAGAGCTGACAAGAATGCCCCGGCACTTGTTAACCCGTGAAACAAAGGTCTTCAACCAGTGCACGTTTTCCCTCAATCTTACTGGCGTGTGGAGGAAACTAGTGTAAACTAACCTATCCTGATCATTTCACACCAATGTTCCTTATCATAGAGCAGCGGCTGTCTAGTGTAGCCCTACTTGAATTTGAGCGTTTCATAGTATAGTATAGTGTAGTATAGTATAGTATAGTATAGTATAGTATAGTATAGTATAGTATAGTATAGTATAGTATAGTATAGTATAGTATAGTATAGTATAGTATAGTATAGTATAGTATAGTATAGTATAGTATTGTATAGTATAGTATAGCATAGCATAGTGTAGTATAGTATAGTGAATATACCACATTTGGTATTGTGCGAGCTGACTAAAAAATTGAATAAACCATACATAATAAACCTTACATGGCTGAATTGCTTCATCTTCTCTGACAGCTGTTCACGGTTGATCATTGGCGGAGACTAACTGTTTTACTGATCAGTCTCACTGGCCAAAAGGCAAATGGTTTTGACTTTTATGGTATGGCTGCCTTGGAGGTTATTTGAAAAATCAGCTGACCCAAAGGCTGTGTAGTGAGAGTCTGTTTGCTTTTGTCTGAAATCTGTTTTTCATCGATTGAAATACATGCGTGATTAACCTACGTTTGAGATAATGAATAACTCTCATGTTCTCATCTGCGAAAATATTAATTTCTGAGGTTTTATTCATTTGGCACCAGAGTAGAAAAAGTCAATTTTTGAAAACGTTTCTGGAAACTTGGCTTCTGGGAGACATCGAGGACAAGAGAATAGGAATATGAAATGTATTGGGCACAAAAATTTATCAACTTTCGGTGTGGAAGTAATTCGGTTAGCCATCACAGACGTGGTAACTAAAACAATTACTAGACACTTGAGCAAAGACTGTGATATGGTGGGAGGAAAGATCGAATTTGTGATCAGGCAATTTTAAGACTACCTGGCATCCGTTTCTTCTTGAGAGATGTTCATTAATGCCAAAGTTTCGGTATGCTGATTCACCATGCCATTAAAGCTCATTCTTCGAATTCTGTGCCTTGTATTGGGCTCCAAATTAAAGCTATTTTCAATTTTATAGGAAGATTGTTGTGCAAACTTTACAGTGCATGTATTCGTTTTGAATCTTTTTATCCCAAGACTGCCAAAAGCGTGAATAGAAACTCTTTTGTCGACCGTATTCATTTGTGTCAGCTAACAAATAGGAAGCCCTAGTTCTGCTACTATGCCATGAAAATAAACATATTCAATCAAAAATTTAGAGTGAGTTCCTTCCGTATTCTAGCAAACTTACTGATGCTTTCTTGTGCGATGTCTAGAAAGTGACCTGGGGCGGGATGAGAAACCATGTGATAAGTTGGTGCTTTCGTTAAACCAGTAAGGGCACAGAGTTCACCCTCACATCACTCTTGTCTGAATTGATCTCCTGTGCTGGCCAAATTATCTCCGGAAGCACTGGACTCGAATTTCGCTCTTACTGGAGCTCATCAGCAATGCATACCCTTGGCCGTGCCGAGGCTTGAACTCAGGACACCTTGAACGCAAGGCAAGACTAAACCAGGTCACTCTGGGCTCACATGAATTATCACGTCTGAACAGGGGAACCTGTTCACGCTTGAGTGATGTGATTGGCTTGCACGATCTCTCGAACCACTCAGGAAATATTCTGGTCGTGTTGATCGATCGACCCGCCTGTAAGGGCTCCCCAGGTAGGTAGCGCCACGGACGCCTGAAGCAATAGTTGATTGGTTCTAGGTGATTGCGGGATTCGCAGAATTCACTCTCGTTTGAATAGTCCTCCATTGGAGTAGAATATGTAGCAGGCTGCTTTATAACGTCTCGTAAACGTGGTTAAATCCAACAACTGAGAGATTAGAAAATGATTTTTCATCCCGCATTCTGATTTTTTGAAGTAATATCCTTATCAACCAACATTTGCGAAAGTTTATTTCAACCAAATAGACGGGTCTTTTAATAAAAAAAATTGTGGACATTGATTTTTCTGGAAGTGAAGTATCGATGCTACGAACGGGATCACATTTGCAAACCTACGTTTCTTTATTTTAATGCATTCACCAAGGTTCCAATTCCGCTGGTTCATGCACATATGTAAAATCCGATCTACTGCTCTGACCATTTAACGATCTCAGTGTGGATCGATGAGAAGAACAGAAAGATCAATTCGTCTAGAACACGATTCAGCTGATTTCGAAATTAAGTCCTGTGTGGTTAGGAGGAAAAGAAGTGTTTTACAGACTATTGATTTTTCTGACAATATACTAGGTCATATAAATCATGCGCCTGTCGACGAATCCAGGTTATGAGTCAACGGCCTAAACATTACTCCCATGTATGAGATCCTAAGTGTTTAACTAATGTAGCGAAAATAAGTATCTAAAAAAAGAACTTATCCGAATGAATGCTACTATCACTGCAAAATCCCTTCATAACTCACCAGCTCACAGGGGCAACCCTCTATATTAATCGCTTCGTGTTATTCCAGGCAGGTTCCGGTTTTTTGGATCCCTGAGGTGATTTTGGAAGCTCTTAGGAAAATGTGTGTGAACCAGTTGGTCTCAAAATCACATTATTTATGTTCTCCAAAATCAACAAATGAATGTACATATGTGTATATTCAGTTTAGCTCACAGCTTTCAGGAATGTTTTCTCTGCAGTGGTCATCCATATCTAGTTTGAAAAATGAATACTGTAAAATGATTTGCTTAAAAAATATCTGTTATTGGTAATCTAGACTTATAACCCCAGTAACTGGCTGAAAACACTTCTGGAATAAACCTGATATCCATCTTAACACACAGAGGTTTTTTTACCGAAATTTGATCCTATTATTTCGGAATAAAGTGAATATTTTATGGCATGAGAACAGAACACATCTTTTGTACTTTTTGGGACAAATTATCCGTTGAAGGGAGATTGCTGGCTTTTTGTAGTGAATAGTTTACCACTGTGTTCTGAGACAGGCGAAGCCAACCAGTAAACTGCTTCTATGCTAGCTCCCGGACTTGATCAGAGGTCATATGCGAGCTCACACATATGCTAGTGCAGGGAATAGCCACGTCAAAGCGTAGGCTGGGTGTGACCTCATGGTCGGCTGCGCCTAAGTTTTAATGATAACGACCAGTCAAACTGCTTGTGCACAATGGAAGACGAGTGCCTTTCAGTGTGGTCCCTTGAAGATGAGTCACTGAAACCTCAAAACCTTTGGGTCTCAGAATCTGCTCAATTGATGATCCTGAGTAGGAATCTTCACGTCAGCCAGGGGAAGGTTTGGTGAGGACCATTGTTTCAGACTACAAAGCATCCACGTGTTATGACACCATCAAATTCATGTACCCAGTCTATGCACCGGATTTGCCAAGTCGATTTCGGGTGTCCGAAATCAATCCATCCTCGATGTCTGTTTGTCGGTTATAGGTCACCGAAGAGGGTTGCTGCTGTTTTTATATTTTACTAACTTATATTTCCGTATTGTATTCATAACAGCCATTGTTACATCCATTACTTGTGCGAATACAGATGGCATACAGAAATGTTGCCTACGCTTTCACTCTGGATGTTCATATCTCATAATTCTTGTTGAGTCAGTTTTCTCAATTAAGTTTTGATGCAGGCAAACTTTGAGTCAGTAGCCTGTGAAAACTGACGTGTAATGACACTGGTCGGGATTTCACTCGTACCAGGTACCTTTTGACCTCCAGCAGAGCTGCATTTTATTCCATCTTCTTGGGCACTGTGTAAGTCGATGACCCGCTCCCACTAAACTGTCACAAAACTCCAATCTTAACATCCTGCTTTGGTGGGCCTTCAAATCGATTTTATGCTTTCACTTTAAAGAGTTGTACATTACTTTTAACTTAAAATGGAGATACTCTGCATTTGTACCCCCGTTTTTGGAAGGTAAACTACAACTTGCTTCGATTTTAACATCTGCCTATTCCCTGTACTATGTTAGTCCTATCAGAAATTACTGACAAAAGAAAGTCTTCTGAGTGACCCTGCTTGGGTCCTCCTTTCAACAAAACCCAAAAGGTAAGCTCCAGCTTACTATAACAACTCAGCGAACAACCGATAAATCTGTAATACTCTGGCACCTGATCGCCATCCGCGACGAATTTCATCTTAGATAGAATTCATTAGGCAAGCGCAGTCACCCAAATTGTAGGCACAAATATCACAACTAGGCGACTGATGTGGAATTCAGCTGTCTTTTGTTAACAACACACTAGGTTGCAAATGAGTTTACCTGAAGGACATAGGGATCCTTTATGTCTTCTTAATGCACAGATGGTCCTCTATAAAGATCGCACCAATCTTCCCTAAATATCTTCACAAACTATAGGCGCACTCGGGGTAACTTTCACAGCAGTGTCCGGTCCAGGAATTCTAGAAAATTTCTGCGTGGCTCGTGCGCACTGACGTTTTGAGAGATGTGGGTACTGTCAGTCCTGTTCAGAAAAATACAGTATTTTGCGATGCAAAGTCCAGTAATAATTTCACACTGATCTTTGTGGTGGCCAAGTCATGTGCGTAAGAATATTGTACTCTTAGACGGGAAGACTTAGTGACACAAATGCCTCGGTCATGTGTAGAATTAGAGCCCCGGAAACAGTCAAGTTTCGAAAGCGGACAGGAATCTATAATATTGTAAATTTTTCTTGTTCAGCTTGCTAGGACTGCAGTGGACTGGATGCATCTGATATAAGGTTCATAGTCAAGAATTTAGTGCAAATCATTTGTAGAAAGCATTGTCTTTTCTAGTGGTAATATTTTTACGTTTCCTGCGATATCAAAATAATGCAATCAATACCTCTCCCACCTTGAATGATGGAAACCACTTTTTGCACCAAAAACAGATGGCATCTCTTTGTGGCGTGTCGCTTGCTTCATAGATGTTCTTCGAAAACAAAGATCTTCAGTTGTGTTGCGTCCATTTTACTTGACGAAGTGGAACATGTCATTGTGGGTTGCCAGCAGCGACCTTCGCCATTTGTATAGTACAATAAACTATTCTGAAACTTGACTGTTTCTAATATGAACCACTGAAGACATTCGAAAAAATTTCCAAATACTGGCAGCTTTCGCTCTGTCAATTAGGTTATGAATTTTCTCCTACCGGAAGTGTGAGGAAAGAATCTTTCTTGATTGTTACCGCTAACTTGATGCTCATTTCCTATGCTGAAAGATTCATCGACTAGTATAAGACTGGCACACAACTAATCATTCTTCACCTAATTGCTCACCATCTATAATGGGCCTATTCTATTTTCTCTTGAAGGAAAATTGTTCCATCTCCTCTAAATTCAACTGACTTCACTTAATTTTCCCACAAAACCTACGTTTAATTTAATTGCCAAAAGGACTGCAGACCTGAGTAGAATTAAAGATTTTGGACGAAGAGTATGTTTTTATTCTGGGTA